AAGTCTCTGAAGAAAGAAATTGAAGAAGATCTCAGAAGATGGAAAGATCTCCCGTGCTCATGGATTGGTAGGATTAACATTGTGAAAATGGCCATCCTGCCAAAAGCAATCTACAGATTCAATGCAATTCCCATCAAAATACCAACTCAATTCTTTACAGACTTTGAAAAAAAGATTCTCAGCTTCATATGAAGAAACAAAAAACCCAAAATCTCCAAAACAATCCTGTACAACAACAGATCATCTGGAGGTATCTCCATCCCTGATCTCAAGTTGTACTACAGAGCAATAGTAATGAAAATTGCATGGTATTGGCATAGAAACAGAAAGGAGGATCAATGGAACCGCATAGAAGACCCAGAAATAAACCCACACACCTATGAATACTCGATTTTGACAAAGAAGCCATAACCATTCAATGGAAAAAAGACAGTATCTTCAACAAATGGTGCTGGTCCAACTGAATGTCCACATGCAGAAAAATGAAAATAGATCTATATTTATCACCCTGCACAAAATTAAAGTCCAAGTGGATCAAAGACCTCAGCATAAAACCAGATACTCTAAATCTGTTAGAAGAAAATTGGGGAAGAGCCTAGAACTCATTGGCACAGGAGACAACTTCCTGAACAGAACACCAACAGCACAGGCTCTAAGAGCAACAATCAATAAATGGGACCTCATGAAACTGAAAAGCTTCTGTTAAGCAAAGGACACTGTCATCAAAACAAAACGACTGCCTACAGATTGGGAAAGAATCTTCACTAACCCTTTATCTGACAGAGGACTAATATCCAGTATATACAAAGAACTAAAGAAGCTGAAAAGCAGCAAACCAAGTAATCCAATTAAAAAATGGGGAGCAGAGCTAAACAGAGAATTCTCGACAGAGGAATATCGAATGGCAGAGAAACACTTAAAGAAATGCTCAACCTCATTAGCCATCAGGGAAATGCAAATCAAAATGACCCTGAGATATGACCTTACACCCATCAGAATGGCCAAGATGAAAAACTCAAGGGACAACACATGCTGGAGAGGTTGTGGAGAAAGGGGAACCCTCCTCCACTGCTGGTGGGAATGTAAACTGGTACAACCACTCTGGAAATCTATCTGGCGCTTTCTAAGACAATTAGGAATAGGGTTTCCTCAAGACCCAGCTATACCACTGCTAGGTATATACCCAAAGTTTGCTCAAATACACAAAAGGGATACTTGCTCAACCATGTTTATAGCAGCTTTATTTGTAATAGCCAGAACCTGGAAACAACCCAGATGTCCATCAACGGAGGAATGGGTACAGAAATTGTGGTATTTTTACACAATGGAATACTACTCAGCAATCAAAAAGGAGGAAATCATGACATTTGCAGGCAAATGGTGGGATCTAGAAAAGATCATTCTGAGTGAAATATCCCAGAAGGAGAAAGACAAACACGGTATATACTCACTTATATAGACCTATAAGATATGATAAACATAATAAAATCTATACACCTAAAAAAGATAATCAAGAGAGTGGACACGGGGTAAGATGATCAATCCTTGTTTAGAAAGACAGATGGGATGTGCACTGAAAGTATGACATGAGTCTACTGAGCCATCTGAAAGACTCTAACTAGCAGTGTTGTCAAAGCAAAGACTCATGACCAAACCTTCAGCAGAGTACAGGGAATCATATGAAAGAAGGGGAGTTAGTCTGATGGGAAAGGATAGGAGCTCCACAAGGACCAAATATATCTGGGCACAGGGTCTTTTCTGAGACTGACATTCAACCAAGGACCATGTATGGATATAACCTAGAACCTCTGCTCAGATGTAGCCTGTGGTAGCTCAGTAACCAATTGGTTTCCCAAAGTGAGGGGAACAAGGACTATTTCTAACAGGAACTCAATGACTGGCTCTTTGGCCTCCCCACCCCCCAAGGGAGGAGCAGTCCTGTTAGGCCACAGAGGAGGGCTTTGCAGCCAGTCCTGAAGATACCTGATAAAACAGGATCAGATGAATGGGGAGGAGGTCCCCCCTATTAGTGGACTTGACAAGGGGCAAGGTGGAGATGAGGGAGGGAGGGAGGGACTGGGAGGGAATGAGGGAACGGGACACGGCTGGGATACAGAGTTAATAAAATGTAATGGATAAGAAAAAATAAAATTAAAAAAAAAGATATCTGTTCAATCCCTCTGGCTTTTAGTGTTTCTGATGAGAAGTCAGGTGTAATTCTGATAGTTTTGCCTTTGTGTGTAACAACCTTTTCCCTTGCAGCTTTTAATATTCTCTTTGTTCTGCACATTTAGTGTTTTGGTTATTATGTGGCATGGTGATTTTTTTCTGGCCCAATCTATTTAGTGTTCTGTAAGCTTCTTGTATATTTATAAGCCTGTCTTTATTTAGGTAGGGGAAGTTTTCCTCTGATTTTGTTGAAAATATTTTCTTTACTTTAGAGCTGTGTGTCTTCTTTTTCTATTCTTATTCTTAGGTTTTTTTTCTTTTCTCTTCTTTTTATAGTGCTCCAGATTTCATGGATGTTCTGAGTCAGGAGCCTTTTAGATTTAACTTTTTTTTTTTTTTTTTTTTTTTGCTGTTGAATTGATTTCTTCAATCATTTTGCTACTCCTGAGATTCTCTCTTCCATCTCTGTATTCTGTTGATGATGTGTGTGTCTGTAGTTCTTGTCCTCTTCCCTAGGTTTCCCATCTCCAGGATTTTCTCAGATTGTGTATGTGTGCGTATTTTCTTTCTTTGAGTTCCATTTTAGATCTTGAACTGTTTTATTAATTTCCTTCTCCTATTTGAATGTAGTTTCCTGTATTCCTTTAATTTCTTTAATGGATTTGTCCAATTCTTTCACCTGTGTGTTTGCATTTTCCTGTGCTACTTTGAGAGCTTTCTTTCCCTTCTTTAAGGCTTCTATTATTTTTATAACCACAGACTTAAAATCTTTTTCTTGTGTTTCAGGTGTGATAGTATCTTCATGGCTTGCCGTAGAAGGACCGCTGGTTTCTGGTGGTGGCATATGGCCCTGAGTTTTGTTTCTTGTGTTCTTACACTGGGCTTTAGCTATCTGGTTGGCTCTGGTGTTTGTTGGCTTGGTGGTTCCTTCACTGGGTTCACTGTCTGTGTCTCTGGTGGGCCAGGCAGATGAGGAGCAGTTTGAAAGACTCGCAAGCTGAAAGCTGGTCCAGTGCTACAACGGCCTCTTCATGATGGAGAAAATGGGCATGGGTCCCTCACCTAGCTCACTTCTACTGGGCTCTGTGTGCTTAATTCAAGTGGGTCAGGTAGATGGGGAGCAGCAGAAAGATCTCCAAGCTGAACACTGGTCCAGCACTACACAGGCCTCCCCCAGATGGAGGATAATGAGGGTTGAGTCTCACCCCCAGATCACCTCCCCTGGGCTGTCTCTGTGACCCAGGTGGGTCAGTTCAGGCATCTCTTAAATATTTGTCTATGTGTCCCAGATTTTTCTCTTGTTGCCAACAGAATTTCAGGAGAAAACTCAATTCACTATCCTCAAAGAGATTTAATCTGGTGTTCTGCTTCATGTTCTTGACTATTGGAATTACAACTCTTAACAAATTTGGAAATTCAGAAAACCTTTTAAATTTGTCTACTCAAAATCTGTATGTGAATTTCATAGCTACATAGACAATTGTTGTTATTTCTAATGTTTCTTTTCTTTGAATGTAGTTTATTTACCAAAAAAAATCAATTACTAACAATAGAGGCTATATTAAATTTATTAATTTTACTTTTTATTTAATTAAATTTATAATTTGTTTTCTGTGTAATAAATTAGGCTAAATTTTGCATGCTGCTAACATTCTTTTTGCTTGTATAAGTAGATAAACCTAAAACAACTGCAGTTAAGATGTTTGTTCTGAATTATAGTATATGGACTATTTAATATTTTTTCAAACAAAATAATAAAAACACTTGAGTAAAATGTGGCACTATGAATAGTTACTCTGAGGCAAGCTAGGGCTCTTCTCTGTGATATTAAATGTAAGCTACATATATATGTAGCTTACATTTATAACATGTACTCACCGAAAAGAGAGAATATATCATTAAATACACAAGAAATCTAGCTCACAGTTTCTTCAGACGTTCAGCAGTCTTTACTTTCCGTTCACTCTCTTAAGCATTTACATGCGTGTATATACCCATATATAGATAGACACCCAAAGATGTACATTATAATATAGGAAACATAAAAGTTCTTCAAACATTATTTTAATGGCTACATGGTCCTTCACTCTTTGGAGCTACAGTGAATACTTAATTCTGCAAGGATAGAATATTTTCAGCTGCTACTTGTTCAGGATGGATGCTCTTGTGATCTTATCTTTATTTATAACTGGTGTCTATAACTTTAATTTACATTTATCAAAAAGCTAGTAGAAGTCTCTGCATTGTTTCAAAGAATATGAATATTGTAATTGTCTTGAAGCAACTTCCCAAAAGCTTAATTTTAAGTTTTTTAATAAATTACTGCATTAGCATTGCTGTCAATGTATGAAAAGGGGTTGCTACATCTTCCCCAGTACTGGGAAATGCAATGATCTTTTGTATTTGTCTGGGTTTGGTGCTTTATTGATGATTGATAGAGACTGAGTCTCACTGTGTAGCCCTTAGTGGCATGGAATTTGCTATATAAACCAGCATGTCCTCAATCTCACATAGATTTGTTACAACACCCAAATGAATTTTCCGTTGTTTTTTTTTTCTTTCTTTCTTTCTTTATTAGAATTTATTCACTTTGTATCCCCACTGCAGCCCCCTCACTTGTCTCCTCCCACCCCACCCACCTTCCCTCTTCTCCCCTAATACACTTTCAATAGTGCCCTGATAGGGGAGGGTCTCCTCCCCTTCTATCTAACCCTAGTTTATCAGGTCTCATGAAGGCTGGCTGCATCATCTTCCTTTGTGGCCTGGCATGACTGCTCCTCCCAGGGGGGAGGTGATTAAAGAGCCCATCACTGAGTTCATATCAGAGACAAAAGAATATGGAATACTTCAAGAATTTGTGTGTCATCTTTGTGCAGGGGCCATGCTAGTCTTTTCTGTACCTTATAAATTTTATGTATGTGCTGCTGAAGCAAGCACATGAATTTTCTTTTATTAATAGTGAAACTGTAAAGTGTTTGAAAAAAGTGGTCCTTTAAAAAATTACTGTAGTCAAAATATATAAGGTTTTAATATCCATGAAATTTGTTCAGAATTCTTACAAGGTAACTGGAAGAAATTTAAAATAGACCATTTTAATCATCTTTAATCCATTATTGTAATCTAATTGAATTCAGCTTACAACCAAGTACTTGCAAACTGTGCTACAGATATTGTGAACAAAAAAGAGGTAGACATTCCTTATAGGTCCTGGAAAGGACACCTTTGTCTGAATGTTCTCCTGAGCTAGGTAACAACAAACATATATTACTAATGTTTCTTTTTTTGTGTGTGTATTTTTTGATTGTGGTTGGCTATTGCTGGTGATTTAAGGAAAGACTTACTTCCAAAAACAATGTCAATTGGCAAACAACATTTTTGAATATTAAATAAATGAAGCAGACAGAATTTGCCTGCTTTTCTATCATTTCTTTTTACAAATGTTTGTAGTGCTCTCTAAGTCACGTCTGTGCTTTAAATGAACAAAACACCAGCCTAGAGAATGTGAGAAAATTATATAACAAATCCAAATCCAGTAGAGGGCTAACATCATATATTATAAAGAATTTTAAAAACTTGACACCAAAAAAATAAATAAATAAATAATAAATAAACCAGGTGAAAAATGGAAGATAGTCTCAACAAAGAATTCTCAGTAGAGGAAACTGAGGAAAATGAGAAACACTTTAGGAAATGTCCAACATGCTTAGCTGTCAGGGAAGTGCAAATCAAAATTACTTTGAGATGTCTTATTACACACATCAAAATATATAAGATCAGTTAAAAATGGGATCTATGATGGCTAAGAAATAGAGTAAGCAGGACATTCTGCATTACTGGTAAAAATGTAAATTTGTGTACCCACTATGAAAATCAGTATGGTGGCTCCTCAGAAAGATAGAAATGGAACTACCTCAAGATTCAGATATACCACTCTTGGGCATATACCCAAAAGATGATTTATCCTAACAGAGGGACACTTGCTTAACCATATTCATTGTTGTGCATTCATCAAACCCAGAAATTAAAAATAGCTTAGATTTTCTTCAACAAAAGAATGGATAAAGAAAATGTTGAAAATTTACACAATGGAGTACTACTAAGTCATTTTTGTTGTTGTTTAAGGATAACATCAGAAAAATTGTAGGTAAATAGATGCAACAAGAAAAAAAAATCATCCTGAGTGAGGTAACCTTGACTCAGAAATACAAATAAGGTATGCATTTGCCTTTATGTTGATATTAGCTATTAAGTTAATAATAACCAAGCTACAGTCTATAAAACCACAGAGGTTAGGTATAGAGTAAAGAACTAAGAAGACAGATAGAGATCTCCCTAGCAAAAAGAAATACAACCATTAATTAGGGCTGCATCACCTCTCTTGCTAAGGCCTGTGGGGCTGGAATGATGGGCAAGTGTCTTAGTCTCTGTACTTTCCAGAAGCTCCACAGTCACCAATTGGACCAGAAGCAGCATGGTAAACAACATGAGAAAACCAACTTGGGTACAGCTCCGAAAGCCAGTCCTTTTGGAGGTGCTTCTCATGAAAAAGAGAATAGTGCTGGAAAGTAGGGGTAGGAGCCGAACAGCCAAATTCTACTACCATGAAGTTTGTCAGGGTGCAGCTCATCAAGAACAGCAAGAATAGTTCAGTGTTCATGCCCAATGATGGTTGCTTGAATTTCACTGAGGAAAATGGTAAAGTTCTAGCTGCTGGAGTTACTGTATAAGATCATACTTTAGGCGATACTCCTGGGGCCTAAGATTAAGGTGGACAATGTGTCTTTTTTGGCTTTGTACAAAGGAAATAAGGAAAGACTCAGATCAAAATTTTGACAGTGGAAGCACAGAAATAAGTTTTCATGTTCTGATAAAAAGAATAGAAAGTTATAGATGGATGAGGTGGTGATTGGAACAGGAGAATTAAGTGAAGAGGACGGGAAAGAGGCTGATTAGGACAAAAATATGGGAAGAAACAGCTAAAATTAAGGGTCTCTTGGGGGTAGACTGGAAACCTAATACACTAGAAAATTTCTAAAAACATACACATATGAAGGTGATCTAAATGAAAACATGAGATAGCAAGGGATTGACAGAGTCACAACTGTCTTGTCACCAAATGAAACTTCCAGTACCAAGAGTGGGTTACTTCTAATTTAGTTTTTGGTTAAATGGGTTCAAGGGAATCCCTAAGCAACTTAGGCTGTTGGCAAAACCACAGTTTTCTCTCCACACACTTAGGGTAACACCCTGCTCCAGAAGACAGAATCTACCCAACTCATTGAACACAGAGAAGTCAAGTTTGTACCTAAATAGAGTCTTCATTATGATGAGATAGTGTTCTTGACACTGAAAGGTACTCTACATGCTACGGAAAAATTACTGCCCCTAATCAGTTACAAACACTTTAATCTATAATGGTGTCCCATCTGCAAGATATGCAAGGGCCATGGTGGGACAAAGCTATGGGAGTGACCTACCAATATCTGATTTGGTTTTAGGCTCACTTCATGAGATAGAGCCCATACCAGAAGCTGCTTGGGTAACCAAGAACCTGAAATTAAATGACAAAGGGACCTGGGGTCAATTAAGTGACAAATACTACTGCTATACTAATGAACATAGCAATAAAATGACTCCTAATGACATAATGCTGTACTCAAAGATCAGAGCTCTATTCAGCCATCATTAATGATGCTTTCTCCTGCGGCAGATGGGAACAAATTCAGGGACTCTCAACCAGAAAATTATGCAGAGTGAGAGACTTTGGAAATCACAGCCTTAAAGGGGATGTGTCTATCTCAAATAATTCCTCTCAGATCTTATGAAACCTTGTGAAAAAAGAGGCAGAAATAGCATAAGAGCCAGTGGAGATAGAGAACACTAAGGAAACAAGGTCTTCTAAACACAACACAACCAATACAGATATGAACTCACAGAAACTACAACTGCATGCACAGAACCTAGGTGGGTGAGCACCATAAAGGTTTGTACAGCTGAAAGGAGAAATAGACAGATGCCCTTATCTACCCAGAAACTACCTCCAATCCATAACCACTCACAAATGGAAATTTAGTTTTCTCCAAGGGAGCCTCACTGGAGAAACCCATCCTCTGTTCCCAGGATAATAACAGACCCTACTGCCAAAAGCAGCAAAGTAGACCTCATGTGTACTAGGTTCCTTTGAATTAATACAGGAGTTCCAAGGATACCAATACTTGAAAAGTGAAATTATTAGTCATTGTACTGGGAATATTCCTGTTAAGCAGTAGCTATACAGATGAAGCATGTAAGCACGTGCAAAAGTCTCTTGCTTATTGGACAGAACACTGAATTGCACACACAAAGAATCAGTTCTGGTAATGGCCAAAAGAAATAAATTGCCAAGATGTCATTAAATACACATTTTTTAACCTCCCACAGGTCTGAGAAGACATTTAACAGACCAAATGACAGAAACATCATTAAACACGTAAAATTGTTGAGTTTAATTCTATAATCATGTTTAGTAGTTAAATTAAGCTATTTCTAGTACTCCAGACATACCTTAACCATACCAGGAAATGTGATGACATGGAAATATTAAAATGCTTGAGATAAAAACTTTAGAGTTGAAAACCACACTAAGAAGAAAATTACACCAGGTAAGACTGATGACAATCTAAATATTATAGAAATAATGTTAAGGAATTGAAGACACAGCAGTAGTAACATACAAAAAATAAAAATATAAGAAGAGTGATTTCAGAAAAAAATTAAGTAACCATATATATATAATTTATATATACAATTGGAATATATACAATATACTGTATATATATATACACTATACACATTGGAATATATATATATAGTGTATATATATATACACTATATATATACATATATACACTCATATATATATATATATGAGGCTTAAAGTGACAAAAGGAAACTAAAAATAATGGCTCAAATTTTTTTAAATAAGAAAGAACTAGTAATCTAAAATTATAGAAATTATGATGAAACTAAGCTCAAAAAATAGAATTCCTTACTATTTATTAAATCAAAACTTAAACAACAGCACCAGAAAAACAATCATACTATATGCAGAAGTTAAATGTAAGTATAAAGATAAGATTCTTTTTTATAACAATGAAAACAAAAAGGCATTGGAGAAAATATCTCTTATTTAAAAAATAGAGGAAACATTCACCAATAGAGAAGATTTTACTCTATTTTTCACAACAAACAAAGTAAAATGATGTTTTTAGCAAAAAAAAAAAATAGTTGAAATAATTCATGCTGTCTGAGAAACATGCTATGGTCGTGCTAGCTTGGACATCAACTTGACTAGCTCTAGATCGGTAAAGAAACAAACTGCTGTGCACAATTTTCTACAAATGGTTCTCATAATCAAGTTATTTTAAGTGAGAAGACTGGCTCCTGTAGATGTGGGTGACACCTGGCTATGGCAGCCAGATAAAAGGAAGGGGAAAGCCTTAAACTGTTCTCATCACCTTTTGTCTCCCTAGCAAGTTTATTGAGCCTTTTGCCTGTTCTTGTCATCACTGCTTATATTACAACCCAGACTCTTCCAGTTCTAACATGAAGATCAATAGCTTTCCAGCATTAGCATCAGATTGGGTCACCAGGTTTGGGACTGTGCAGCTATGTGTTTTTCATCCTCTCAGGTGTAAAGACAGTCATTGTAAGATTACCCAACCCCAAAGAGTAAGCTAATCTAACAAATCTCATTATAATATATTTCCATTCTAATTGACTGTTCTCTGCAGAGAATCCTGACTCATATATTTGCTAACATTCCTCAAGAAAGGCCAAAGTAAGACCAAATAAAATCTCTACTTAGGGATGAGGAACACACTATGTCCACTGAACAAATAATGGCTTCATTTTAATTATTTAAAATATAACTGCTTGAAGAGAAAATGGCGCATTGT